CTGAGCTTCAGGTTAGGTATCTAATGCCTGCCTCAGCTGATAAGATTGCCAAACAGGCCCAGGATTATAGCCATGCTTTCAGCGCCTGTGAGAATGTGGACAGGTGTGTCGGGGTTACCGTTTGGGGATTTACCGATAAATACTCGTTTTTCTTCGACAAGGGTTATGGGGAACAGCAGTTGTGGACAAAGGATTTTAAGCCCAAACCCGCTGTTGAGGCCGTCGATAAAGTTTTGAAATAAATGTGCATTTATTACAACACTAATAAATATTTTTAAAAATTAATATTTATACAGTATATTAATTAAAATGTCATTATTAGAGTCTATATAATGTCTAATAATTGGTTGGTAATAGAAATTTTATTTGTTCAGTCATATTTCTCACAGTAGTGTTTATTATTGAAAGTAATACCACTTTAGTAAATCTAATCAATTTAAAGTACTCATATACCTAAATAACATGTAAACATATTAATTTAATAAAACTGTTTATAATCGATAATTTTAAGTAGACACAAACTAACACTTGACCCGATCACCAGGTATATTTAACCCTTATTATGTGTTATTATCTGTTTCCAACTAACCTAGATCAGTGTACATGAATATACTTTGTACATACAGTATACATTGTGTTCAGATTTATTTTAATGCAACTTAATAGTATTAAATAAATGATATCAATTTATAACATATAACAATATATTTATCATTATAACAATAAATTCATCAATTTATATAAAAAAAACATTGTTTAAAAACGTCAAACCAATTATGAGTTGGGTATTTTTCTGTACAATTTATGATGATAATAATATAGAAAGTGATATACTGATATAGAAAGTCAATTAAGTCAAAGGCTAAGTATACTTATTATTTAATTATGATTATTACAAAGTATGGTCAATGTTATCAAATATATTTTAGATATATTTCATCTATATTTTGGTATATAAATGTGTTGTTGAGATATTTAACAAGCACACTGTAATCAGAATCTGAGAAATTATTGAAACACACTGTAATAAAATGCTCAATTAATACTTGTGTCAATTCATTAACTAATTGTTTTAGAAATTTAACTTTTTTTTATAAACTGTATATTAGATTAATATAAAGCACACGAAAATGCTGTCCACGTCAATCATTTTAATCGCGGTATTGATTGTGTAAGTATTTCACAAATATTTATACATAACTTATATTTTTTGATATTAAATCTTATTTTTCATGAATATGTGGGGCACCGGCAGCTCGAGCGAGGGTCACCTCCGAGATCATGCCAAACAGAAGTACATCGGATCGGCGTTTACGTCCGGTGCCCTCAGCGACCAGAAATACGTGGAAATACTGGGCCAGGAGTTCAATTGCATGACACCTGAGAATGAGATGAAATGGGGGTCTCTGGAGGCCAGCAAAGGGCAGTACAACTGGGGAAACGCCGACAAATTGGTCGCATATGCAGAGCAACACAATATGAAGATCAGGGGACATACCCTCATATGGCACGAACAGTTGCCCTCATATATTGCGGGGCTGGAGGGCAAAAAGGCTGAGCTCGAGCAAGTGATCAAGGACCATATTAATACAGTGGTTGGACATTTCAAAGGTAAAATTTATTTTTAAAATGTTACTAATAAGTTGAAACTGTATTAGCGTTACCTTTCCAGCCTTATATAAAATGATTTACAATTAATTATTGTTTATTTTTATTTTATGGTATTTAACGAAAAGTTTTATAAACTAAAAGTAATTAATTATAAAAATATGTTTCAATTCATAGGTAAGATCTACGCGTGGGATGTCGTCAATGAGGCGATCGATGACGGGTCCGGCAAACTAAGGGACAGCATATTCTCGCGAACTTTTAACTCCAGTTTCATTGA